GTTCAAACTTGGCTCACTTTAGCTCAAATAAACTCAATCTATGCATGCATTAGCACACATATCCATATGCAGATGTGTTTATGTGAATGTAGGTGCGCTTGTAGAGAGGAGAGATTAGCCTTTTAAAAGGATAAAAACATTTGTTCTCGCATCCTACACCACACATCCACATATTAGAATGATTGAAATTTAAAGTAGACCATCCACCTTTTAATTCATAATGGCATATTTAAATACAGAAAAGCTAGTTTAAACATTCAACCATTCGAATATGCGATGAGTAATGTAAGATGTATGCAATAAAAAACTCCCATAATTTGAAAGGATTAGTCTAACTATATATATATATATATTCCCAGGATGTTGCAAAGTTTTTAAAAAATCCAAAAAAAAGGAACGAACCAAAACAAATCTTTCATAAGCCAAAGATCTCACTCCTAAATAGGTTCTTGCCAAACACATACAGATTATGATGAGAAAAGAAAAAATACAACTCAATGTATATTGCTACAAGTCATCCAAGTAAATATAACAGCAAATGAAAGACAACAGCCTACACTAAAAAATTAAAATCTCTTCAACATAACAAAGAGTTAACATAAAAATACAAGTCTACACAAACTCAATCTTCAATCAGGCAAATGTAGATTTCACAAGCCTTATAAAACACAAACAAACCTTCCAATCATTAATCTCCGTACAACCCACAAATCAGAATCACAAGAGCAAACTAGAGGCATTCCAAAAGTTAGAATAGTAAATTGTTTTCTAGGCCTTCTTCATCAAGTCAAACAAAAGATCTTAAACCAATCAAATTTAAAATAACCCCTCTCAACTATTATCATTGGCTTGCCCTCAAAATAGAAATAACAGATAATCACTTGTTCGTTGATAATAGGATGCAAGATGATGATAAATGAAGGCATACTAGGAGCAAAACTTGGCTATGATAGAATAAAGAGTGGAAGCTAAGCCTATAACGCAGGAAATGGATTGGTGTAGAGTGGAGGAAACAACATCATGACTTACGCAAAAATAAATAAAAAGAGAGAGAGAGAGAGAACTATGGAAGAAATAGAAATGCATTCTCCTTTAATGAGTGAAATAAAGAATAAATATTATTTGATGGGCAACTCACCATAGTTCCCTTATTAGAGAGCCACCAAACCCACCTAAAAAAAAGCCTAAGCATTGTACATCATATCATCCAAGCTTTTTTTTCATAAAAATGCTACTATACATTTAGCCATTACATGGTAATTATAAGAATTAAAAAATTAATAAATTCTTTCATAGGGCTAGTCAAATCTTATTTAAATTTGAAATTTAAAATAACTTGCAATAATGATAAATTGGTGTAAATCTCCTGAATTTATGGCTTATTTCAAGAGAGAGAAAATATTATTTGATTTGAAATTACATCATTAGTAGTCCAAATTCTCAACTCAAATAATAACATACTGCATTTAAAATTTCAAAATTCAAACCATTCCTGGTTTCATGAGGTGCCACATATTAAAATGGAGAGAGGAAGCCCTCTTGGCCGAAATTCATGCAATTGGTAACATCATTCAAAAATAGGGTGGATACTACATTTTGAGAAAAGAGAGATAATATTGAATTTCTTAAATTTCCTGGTGAAAGACTCGACCATGCTTGCATTTTCCCCTGAATGATATACAATCTTCAGAAAATATCGGAGAATTTTTTTTTCATAATTATAATCAAACCATTTTTAAACATTTAATTATTTTTATATATTGTGAAGCTCATAGAATAAAGAGATAATATTGTAAGGTATCATTTACCTCAAAAGCAAGTAATTACAGAGTTGCGGGTGAAAAAATTTTAACACTTTGTTAAAATGGACGATAATAGACAGGAGACCTTAATTTTGTGATCTATATTATTAAAAAAGCCATGATTACATCCTAAACCTAATCAAAGTTTTCAAAAGAAAGTCGCCTTAACTTTGAGAGAGTTCTAAAGCATTCTACCCTTAAGGAGGATGGGCAAGCAAAATGGTTGGTTAACAAGGGTTCTTTTCCTTTTCTACCCATCATAGCAGTGTTTATGTTAATGATTAATAGTAAAATTATTCATAGTTAGATTTGCAACAATCTAGAATATTTTGGTTGTGTAGAGTTACTACCATTAAGATGACCTTCCTACACTTAATTTCTAGTTGTTGTTTTCTAGCATAAGCACATATTTCATCTTAAAAAGATTCCATTTTTTTTATCAAACGTAATAAAGAGTTAATTCAAATTAATAGTTTGGCTTCTACAAATTGAACATTTGCCATTATATTGTTTCTATATTGAATGTTGAAACAATGTTAGACACCTTAAACACTAAGATAGGCCCCAACACAATGTCACGCCATCTAAAGAAAGCATGGACTGAGCCCTTATGATAAATACGAGCTAAAAGGCAAAGATGAGCTGCAAATCATACCAAAATCAAACAAGCTTATGTCAATATCAGTATCAATGGCCGATTTAAGTACAATAAAAATACTATATTTTAATGGTAAGACCATAAGAGTTTAACACTGCCTTGAAATCCATAAATGAAATATGTAATCCAAAAATCTCTCTTTTAATTTGAGAAACACTTGTATATTAGCAAAATAATAAAATATCATTTCTATGAAATGAGGACACATCAAAAAGTCTTGTGTGTGTCAAGCATGTGCTGAACACAAATAGAAGTCATACATGAAATGACGTTTGTCTAGCATGTAAATTATGTCAAAGATATTATTTCAAGCACAAATGTAATGGTCATAGGCCAATACAAATCAGCATAGGAAAGCTCATGACACAAGGGATATTTTTAGAGTTTTTTCGGGTTTAGTGATTCAACAAAAGTTGAATTTGGTTCTCTTGCTCGCTCTCATGCAATTCTCCTGCTTCAATGCAAGGAATATATCCTCTCATTCGTATAAGGCAATGTAACCTCTCTCTCTTTTTCACTAAAAGTACAACATGCTCCTATCTTTTATCATCCTAACCACTAAATCCACCCACTCATTCATGTTTGACATTCACGAACCACAACCCTAGTTGGTTTTCACTCGTTATTTGAAATGTCCAAACCCTCATCTGCTCAAATATTCACTTCATCAGCTAACTCTAATCAAACGTGATGATTAACAAGCCATATTATTTCTTTTTTGAACATTTGTCAGTTTCTACCACAACACAATTCATGTATTAGCTAATTGCTAGGGGGTTGTTTGGTTGAATAAATTAGTGGTGCACTGTAATTCTTTTGCAGGGATTTGAGAAAATGGTGTTTGGTACGAAAATTTACATATACAATGTAAGGTTAAAAGTTTACGCCGTAATTCATTTTGGTTGAATTAAGAATTCAGACGATTTGGCCGAATTTTAATTACATCATTCATGTAAAATCATTCATGTAAAATGTTATACACAAGTTACCACAGCCGCCCGTAGCCGCAGCCGCCGCTAGCCGCTCCGCCTCTAGCCAGTCGTGGCTTCCTGCCACCTGCCACCACAGGCAGCCCGCCATCCCCAGCCGCATGTAGCCTGCCAACTACCAACTGTTGTCGTCATAGTCCGCCCGCCCCAGCTGACTGATCTCAGTCGTCAACCGCCGACCGCTGCTAGTTGCCCACAATGGATGACCCACCGCCAGCAGACAACCACCTACCGCAGCCGCGACGTATCACGCGCCGCAATAGTTGCTATCGTCCACTGCCGTCGACCACTATTATCCGTCGATGATGCCTCAGCCTATTGCTTGTCGTGGTCCCGCCCCTGCAACCCATCGTTCCCCTCCACTGCTGCCTTTGGCCGTCGCTCGCTGCCTGTCGTGTCGGCCACCTTTTGTCTAACTAAATATATTATTTCAAAGCTACTTGAAACCAAACAAAAAAATATAAAGTCCTACATTTATTTTACAGTGAATCAAACAATTCAAATATTTCAAATACATTATAATCACGGTATTCTGCAAACCTTTTACATAGCATTTCATTTTCAACAAACCAAAAGACCCCTAATAGTTTTGCCTTTCCTCTTCTAGCCAAAGCATCAAATCAATGTTTTTCCTTAATTTGTTTGTTCTCATCTTAACAAAGTAAAAATAAAATTATCCTTAATATTTTATTGTGGCATTTAAGGTTCTCTCAAAACTAAATATTAACGTTTCATTTTCATAAGAAGATTTTAAAAATTTATGCAATGTTAATCTACTAAACCTAAGTTTATTTTATTGTTACTACTGGTTAGAAATAATTCCATAGAGAATGAATAATAAAGCATGGTAAAACATATGTTATCAAAACAAATGTAGTAAAACTACAAGAAAAGGAAAAAAACCTAGAACATAAATCTTATTTTTATTTAACTAAACATTTAATATTAATAATTTATAAAAGAGAAAATTGTGTCTATGGAATAGGTCCCATCAATTATAATTATGTCGCATCACAAAGTCCACATTGTACGTATCCATGCATCATGTTCTTGATTGCACTTCATAAGATAAGATTTGGCAAATTATAGCTAGGAAAGAAAATAATTAATCTCTCCAATAAAGAATTATCCCTATTGAAAACGTCATCCAACTTCTTCATGTCTCATCAGTTCATCTTTAGTTTATCTTGAGATATAAACATCCAGTCCCATTATGAGTCCCCAAAGAAAGCATTCGTTTTCTACCATTGCTCTTACATTAATACAAATTAGAAGAACTTGATGTCTTGTTGTATTAATAGACCAGTAGATGATCAGTAAATCTATTTAATAAACTTCAGTGGATCTAAAAAAAAGATATTTGAACATTTGACCATAATTTACAACTAAAATAAGGTAAATATCATAAACCATTCAGAATTCATAAAATACTAGCATATAGATACCAAAACCACTGCCGGTTAAAAAGAACTGAATTAAATGCCACAAAAATATTCATAAAGCTAAGAACAAATAGAAAAAAAAAATTGGCCTCTCCTAATAGCAACTTACTATCGCCTGGAAATAAACCCAGCTCCAGATGACCTGCCATAATTGGAAGTAATCAAATGAGGCTATGTTTAAGGATAAGCAGACATTATTCATAGAAAATATTAAAATTAGAAGACTTGCTATCCAAGACTTAAAAATACCTTGCTTGCTGCTTTCCTCCAAAGGCATGCCTGCCATTTGTCAGTCCTCTATTTAAACCATTGCCTACAACACTGCTTGAAATTGGCTGAGCAGGATTTATTTCGGTTGCCAAACCACTCATTTCATGAGAATTCTTTGCCTTGTTTGTTAAGGATACATCTGACATGTCTTGAACGATGTTAAAGCTAATGCCATTTTGTGGTTGATGGGGGGATTTCTGAATCACTGGTAGTCTGTCATATGAAACTTGCGTGTTCCTGATCTCAGCATCATCTAAATATGAAACAGCATCAAAAGATTTGGATTCCATGGCTGACTTTTTATGACGATTGCTCTGAGACACTGGAGTGACAGCAACTGATGGGAACAGTGAAGAATAAGGAACATATGATGCAGCAGCAGCGGCAACTTTTGCGACAGCTGTAGTCGCTGATATGATTTGTTGAGCTCCTTCCCGTAGATGAATAAAGTCTCCTTCAATTACAAACAGCTGGAATATGGCCATAAAAAAAAATCAGAAAAAAAAATATATTTCGTCAACATATTCCAAAAGCAGGAAAAGTAAATTAAAACCATAGAAGTTTAAAAATTCCACAAGGGAAACCTACTTCAGGATGAAGAGAAACAAAATCATCAAGTTTTCCATAGTGTTTCTTATAATCATGCCAGTGAAGGGGTGCAAGCATCTTTGCAAGCCTATTTGGTAACTGAAAGCAACATTTTGCAGAATTTAGTTCATACAAAAAACATAAAAAATATTTCATACAACAACAATAATGAAACAATTCGAAACTTGAACGATGTACTCACAGTACTGCTAATCCTAATTTGACCGTCAGATCCAGCTGGAATTGCACGTACAATGCAAGCCAAAAGCGCCCTTTCATCTAGAAGGGCATGGTCCATTGACTTACTGGTGATCGCTAAGCTTGATTCTTGTGTGGTTGGAATCTTAATTTCAGAAGATACCAGCACAGCTCTATTGCATTCTGCAGCATTGTTGGAACCAACAACATTGCTTGGTGCAGCACTTGCATCTATAACGGTAGCTAAACATTGTTGACTTGATGTCATAGTTAGCTCTTGTGATTCATTATAAGATGCGATGGAATGATCCTGCTCAAATGAAATTTAAAAAAAAAATGCGGTGAAAAAAACATTAACCCACCAATTAGAACTTCTAGTGCAACAACTTAAGAAAATGTTGAATAAATCAAACTCTGATTGTAACGCACTAATAAGCATAACATAGTCTTCTAGAAAAAAATACAGCATAAAATATTCAGAAAGAAACCTTGGGCTCGCTCCTCTGACCAGTTCTCTCACATCCAAATGCAGTATTAAGATGAGAGTGAGCAGTTGACATCTCCTGGGTTTCTTGGGGCAGTTGATACTGATTACAAGTAATTTCAGTAACCTACATAAATTTTATAAGTCCATAACTTAAATATATTAGGATCATCAATAAATAAAAAAGTTAAAACTATCACATTCTAACCCGAATTTCTTCATTTGGTCCATTGTTTGCAGAAAAGGAACTCTGCTGTTGGTTATTTTGTGAGTTAAAATGATATGCCTGAAGTTCCTTTGCATCAGCAGAAAGTTCGCAGCTAAAATGAGAACCTGATCCAACTTGATTTGGCTCTAACAGAGATGTATTGCATTTATTCTGATTGAGCATTACCTGAAGGAAAAAAGAAAAAATATATATCAAAGACATGCGCATATTAAAGAAACTGTGATCTCCAACAAATCTATAAAACTGCATGACCAAAGGATAAGAACCTGTTGGTTCAACCAGTACTGTGGGGTTGGCACTGGAGATACTGGCAAAACATTGCCTAAATAGGGTTGAGAGATTATGGAATTTGTAGATGATGGAGAAGGTGGAACACCTTGAGGGTGCATAACAAAAGGGCGAAAAGCCGACATCTGACCAGCCGGGAGGAAGGTACCCATACCAAGCAGAGGTGGAAATACAGGAACACCAGAGACATGTTCTGTCTGGAGGAAATAAAAATAAATAAAGAAATTTGATCTTAAATGGTTTTCCTTGAGCGTTGTTATCTAAATATTAATGGTAAAAAATCAGAAGAGACAATTGTTCATTTCAACCTAAGGAACAATATTCTTTCATAGGAAAAACAAAAAGATGATTTCAAGCGAAGTATCATATGTGAACAAGAAAACATAAACTTCACAACCAGATCACCATTTAGGATGCTTATGATTTCGCATGAACTGTAAAATATACTCAGAATGAACAGTTGGATGAGCACACATTTGAGATATTTAAAAGAAAAAGCAGAGAAATAAAAAAAAAGCAAAAGTAAAAAGAAATAAGTTTATGATCATAAGAAAAAAAATTTCAGAACGATCTACAGTCCAGTAAGTATAAAATCTTGAAAATTTTAACATAATAGAATAATCATCATATCATTGAAAGGTCGTCGGAATCAAAATCCCGTCACCCGTTTCGGAAGAACGATTTAATTTTACATATAGATTTAAGTTTAAAATCAAATATGAAAATCAAACTGACCCCATATTTTTCATAGTTTAAATGAAAGAGCGTTTTACCTCAAACCTTGTATCTATCCCGAGAGATAAACACAAGACTTGAGGAAGATGCTTGATCAAATAAATTAAGAAATGTTAAAAAATGCATGACGTCTGTTTGGTCTGCGAAACCGTTTTATTTGCCGACAAATTTCCCCTATTTAATATGAAAAATTAAATAGGGTTTATTTTAAGTTAGGTTCGGAAAAGCTTCCTATAAGGGTAAACCTTTATAGTTAATTACATCTTAAATGACTGAAATCACTTTAAAATACTCTCGATAAAAATAAAAAAAAATTATCTTCAATGACTTCAAAATGATAGGACTTTTCAACGAAATCGGACAAAGAGGTGTGAAAGGGGAATGACTCAAAGTTGGGACATTTATTACAGAATCCAAAGGAAGAAAAACTAGGGAATGTCACAGATCCAGAGGAGATCCTCGGTGACTTCCAAGTCTACCCTATGGTTTGGCTTCAGTTTTGAGGAAAAACATTAAAGTGTTTTATCCTGCTAATTTTATTTATTTATGGCTTACATTCGTGTGAAACGATCACACAAATAGCCTGAAAGGTGTGAGGATTTAGGTCGTAACGAACGACAACCTCATAATCCTAAAACGAGTTAGGGCTTAGATCGTATAGCAGAGTTATACAAATGTCTAACGAAAAGATTAAGGATTTATGTTGTGCTAGGCGAACAGCCTCAAAATCCTATGAATTGTTGTTTTAATTTATAAGAAATGAATGGTTTAGCTGGGGAATACATGTTCTGCTGTTGAAGATTGTCAACCCACCGCGCTAGTTCTAAGCTCCTTGTCGTGATGAGTTTAAGTTTTCTAGGGTGTCCAGTTATGATGTCAAATCAAATGACTCTATGGTAATAGTCTTCTAAACATCCTATAAAAGAAGGCATGCTTAAGGATATATAATATAGAATGTGCAGTACAAGACAAACAGTAGGATGTATGTAGAACGATAGCAGGTGAAAACAAGAATAGTATAACATGTTGTACAGTACAATAGCAGGTAAAAATAGGAATAGTATGTATAACATATTGTACAGGAAGAACAGTAGCAGGTAGAAACAAGAATAGTATAACATGTTGTACGGGAAGAACAGTAGCAGATAGAAGCAAAAATAGTATAACATGTTGTACAGGACAGTAGCAAGTAGAAACAGGAATAGTACAACATGTTGTACAGGACAGTAGCAGGTATAAACAGAGAAATGAAGTGCTGTAAATGTAAAGCAAACATGTACGCCCGTGAGATTCATTGTTTATTAAATATAGCAAGCTAAAATGCATCGCAAAAAGCGAAGTCTGGAAGCAACGTCATCCAGGAAACCCGAAGAAGAGTGTAACGACTCATGACAGAAAACTCGAGAAAATCAATGAGAAAAGGCTCAAGTAAAAATCCTCAAAAATCTTGGAGAAATCCCAAAAGAAAAGAAAAGAAACACGAGTGCCCTGTCCCAAAGCTTCGATAAAACAAAAAAAAAATTCGGGTAAGGGGGACCGCAAACACTCATGTGAGGCTAAGCTCAGATATATATACATACTCGAGGGTCCACGAAAGCTACTCGGTCACCCAAATGTATAGAACTCGCCACTCGTCTAGAAGTATGTCTTGAACCTCACCTAGAGGGCTATTTCCCAACCTAAACAAGTATTCGTCAGGTGGACAATCAATTTTAAATGTATTTTAAAATTTATGTTTTTGACATGCACATAGGTCTCCAAAAAAAAAAAAGATTATCAAATTTTATTTTATAGCGAAAAATATATTTTTTATTTTTTAAAATAAGTTTTAACAATTTTTATTGTCCACCAGTCGATTACGTTGTCGGGCGTGGGACTGTCAACCACCTGAAGAGGTTCGAGCCAACTCCCGCTAGACTTATGTTGGTGAAGGATACCGTTATCCTACTGTTCATCAAATACCTGGATCTTGATGTTATAGAATAGGACATCTTTCTGCTCTTTCTTCAGTATACCTTTATCATCACCACCTTACGCCCCAAAACAAACTACTTGCGACCTTGCTTGATGGTTTCATGTATAGCAAAAGGCTATACGTGGACACTTATGTGTCGGACATAAGCATCGAAAACCGAACCAAGAAGTAAGGAAAGAAAAAAACAAAAAATGGGGTGAGAGAGAGGAGGCACCGATCCATCTAAAACACCGAAAAGGAGAATAGATCAGTTCTCAAAAACTCCTATCGAAAAGACTGGGTAAAGTAGGGCCTAAGGTCTTTCCTAACAAACATAAAGGGATACTTTGCGCTGATTTTTTTTTAAACCCTAAAGACATAAGATTAATCAAATTAACCAAACGCTCTCCCAAATAAGGCTTGCAAATCCTCCAAACCTCAAGTTGATATTAAAATCTCCCAACTCCCACCAAACCCCAAGTTGATATCAAAATCTCCCAACTCTCAAATTAATCCATGGCCTCACACATCAAACAAACACGAAATTTTTCCAATACACTGAGGTGTAAGACCCACGGCCTGTATCAGTAGAGAAAGGAAGACAACTACCAAGATCCTCGGCCCAAGTGAGGTAAAGCCAAGAAAATTCACGGGTAAAAGCCAATATCAGCACCATCTAGCTCCAGACCCGAATAAACTCCCACAGGTGACTCACGACAAGGCATAAAAAGGCCGATATAAAAGAGAGACCCACGGTTAGGACTTAAAGAAGGGAAAGACTCATGGCCACGACAAACAAAGCAGTCCTAACCAACTCCAAAGCATTGTAAGCAAGACTCACAGCCAAGACACGAGGCAAAGGGAAAGGGAAGGCTCACGGCCTAGGCTAAGTCCAAGGCACAAGACAAATTCTATGACTAAGGCAACTCAAATTCATTCCACAAGAACTCTGACATACGCAAGAGAGTGTAAAATACCATCAATCCCTTTGGAATGGCACATTTGCTCTCCCCACGATCATCCAAGCAGTTTAAGCCCAAACAAAAGAAGCTAAAGTCAGGTCCTCATAAAGCACAACCAGAACTCACTATAAAGCCAAAACCAGTTCCTTAAAGTTCCAATGAGAAGCTTAAATGTGTTAAGATAATACCTTTAACCAAAGCAAAAGCCAAGCTTCAGTAAAACCAACACCCCAATCTTCCCAAAATAAGAAACCGAGCCACCAAAGCAATAAAAAGGAAGAACCCCCAATAGGCAAGAACCGAGATTCAACACAAAACCAAATCCAAAAAATACCAGACGAGTTAAAGACCAAACCGAGCCGAGCAAGGCCAAAACCCAAACCCAGCAAGGGCTTAAAAGTCCAACTGCAATTGAGATTTAAAAGTTAGGCCACAATGAGAGTTAGAAAAATATCCCCATGCCTTTAAGGTATTCAACCTAGAACTACCAAATGCTTTTAGTGAAAGTGAATGAAAGTTTCACAATGCATATACTAACATGCTCATGAGAGGGGCCAAATTGTTTCAAGGCCATCATTTTAATTGTTTCTAATATAACTATGCCTCAAAAGGTAGGAAACATGTCATGGCTTCAGCACTTTAGATAAGCAAAGTAAAAGAAAGAATTAATAGCATGCCACATTGCTTAACCAAATTTAACTTCTAGCCTAACTTCACAAGATCAACCCCCCGCAAAGTGAATCATGGGGGGCTCGGCAAGGCCGTACCCGAGAGCCAGTAAAGCACAGAGAAAGGGAGAGAGAAGGAAATACACACCCGCAAGCCTCAAGCCTTTAAATGTCATTCCCACATAACAAATGTATAAAGAATAAGTTAGAACATGTTTAGGAATGAGGCAAATAGTAATCTTCCTATTCTAGCATGCTAACGGGGCTCGGTAGAGAGCAGAGTCGAGTACAGGCAAGGCACAGAGAAGGACCGAAAACAGGTAAAGCACAGGGCAGAGTCGAAAACAGGTAAAGCACAGGGGGAGGGAGAAGTACCTCTTTAATGTGAAATTACAGAAAGATGTTCTCTAGCCAAACTTTCCTCCCAACAGTGAGAAGAACCTAATTGGAGCACTAGAAACTCCAAAAAAAGAATAAGAAAGAAGAGTGCAGAGAAAATTCCTCCCCAGAACAAATTTTC